CAGAGGAATCGTCAAGCACCTGGAGGGTGGGTGGCACACACTGGCACTCATATCACTGTACATAAACTATTTACTTTAGTACCCTAATGTACAGAAGATCTGGGAGACATGGTCTAAAAAGCAGATCTCAATATTTTTCTAAAAAACCTTGATGATATATGTATCTAAATATTTTAAAATAGTAACATAGTCACATAGTCCAAATAATTTTATATAAAGAAATTATAGAACTATGGGAAAAACAACAAAATAATTGAGTAATACGTTAGAAAATTTTCATCAATTTTTCACAAGGTCTCTTTGTCAATTTGTCACAGTTCCTACATTATGCAGTTATGAAACTGACATTTATCATAATATTTTTTGCTACTTTCTGCAGGAATGTCAGACGAGGACATCATGGAGCTGAACCTTCCAACCGGCATCCCGATCCTGTACGAGCTCGACAAAAACCTCAAACCCGTGAAGCCCATGCAGTTTCTGGGAGATGAGGAAACTGTACGCAAGGCCATGGAGGCAGTGGCAGCTCAAGGCAAAGCCAAGAAGTAAAGCAGCAAGGAAACGTCTCAGTGATGACAGTTTAGGTTAAACTAGACAACTCTGTATAATTTATTTTGGACCCTCACACAGTATACAATGCACTGTAGACTGAGAGATTCTAAATGTGACTTTGCAAAAACAGCTCAGTATCATGAACCCCTAATTTAGAAGCAATGGGTTTCAAAAATGATATAAAAGTAAAATATAAAAATATAGAATTTATTTATGTACTGTACTTGGGTGTCTAACTAACTAATTCAAGAACCGCAACATTCCCCCGATCGAATTGAAATGATCAGAATTCAGAATTAAATCTGCAATGCTCCTGTTGTAAATCAGGTGGCGATGTTGGTTTGACTATTGCAAGGAAATAGAATGTTTTATTTTTCTCTTCACCTAGCCTGAAGTGAATATTGTTTTTGAATCTTATTAGATATATACAGTAAATAAAACCGTTACAAAGGCTTTGCAGTTTGCTTAACCTTGAAAATAAAGTTTGTGCATTCCATGGATAAAGAGAACCTTCAGTTAGCAGAATGAGGAGATAAGGTCTGTTCTTTCCTCTGCAAGTCTCTGTCTAAATGTTAACCGTGCAGTGTCCTTGAATGTTGTTGCTAATTTACCTAGTTTGACCAGTTTGAAACATCACATGTATCAGCATTGCACAAAGAGTTGTTATAGTGCCCTTGTTACACAATATTACTGTGCAGTTTGAACTAAAGATGAAACTTTTCACATTTAACAAATGCTCTTGTTATGTCTTGGTTAACGTTGTCGTGTCTCTGCCTCTCGCTGTCCTAGTTCTCAGGTGGCTCCAGCTGCTGCTGTGGAATTAAACGTCTACACCTGTCATGGTGGTAACATTGCAGACTGTTCAGGCTAATGGTAAATGGAATTATTAACTGCTTGGAAGCTGCAACATTTTTTCTTCATTATGTAAACTGCTGGGTGTTGTCTGAACATGCCCTGTGAAAGCTCAGATGTAATAAAGATGTACATGGTAATGTCTAAATCATGTGGGTGTGTCTGCTTGTCTAGCATCGTTACTATTTTCTATTATTTATGATTTTATTCTATTTTCTCTTATTTATTACTTTGTATTTTTATTCTATTCTATTTTATATTTATATTATCTTGTATTTTTATTGTATTTGTAGAGAAAAACAGTCAGTAAAAATCTGAATATTAATACAATATATATTTTTAAAGAAAGGGTAACCAATATACATAACAGTGCTACTGGCGCATATTTGACGTGCGTTTTTACAGTAAAAAGAAAAGAATACCCTTTACACCTTTAAAAAGAAGTATAAAATGTATTAATTTTACTGTCTTTACTGATTAATTATAATATGACATATGATCTATTGCGTTCTTAGACGACACTAATGAAACGAGGGATATTCAAGTAAACAAACTACCAAATCTGTTCCCGGGAATACCTCTTTTGAGCTGCAAATCCCACAATGCTTTGCGTGACGCTATGGTCTTTACGACAGTAAGCGGGAGAAGGTTGAAAGGATCATAACGTTGGATGCGTAGAACACCTTATGTCGTCGCGCTTTGTTGTTATGGACACCTTACCTTGTCATGAAGTCAAAGGCATCAACAGAGGATCAGATGAACACTCGGTAAGAAAATATCCGGACTCTCTCTTTACTCTATTTGTTTGTGCTAAGATTTTAGCCGAACTCATGTTATGTGAGTTCTTGTATCCATTCCAAATGGGTGCCTTTTGCGTGAACGCGCCTTGAAAGAACGTTATTATTGCATTATGACTGGTAATTCCATTTATATCAATGCAAGGTGTTTTAACAAAGTAGCCTTAAAATAGCTACAAGCTAGCGCTAACCTTATATTACTGGTCTAAAACAAAAGACTAATACGATAGCTAAAGTAGCTTAAAGTGAATCAAAACAAACAAAATATGCGTAAATTAAACGTAACTATAATAAAGTGTGATTTGTTGTTTGTATGGGTTTTTTTTTCATTTATAGTGGTATATTAGTCCACTTAAAATATTCGTCAAAGAGTTATGTTATGGCTTTTTATTTTAAATGTTCAAGTGCCCTACAACTTAGACATGCCTGAGATCGAGGGCAGTAATGAGCAGTTTCAGTTAGTTAACACACTATTCTGTTAGTAGCTACATAGAAAAAATATGTAACCGAGTGTTTTTTGTTTGTTTTTTTGTTTGTTTTAGTTAGGGTTAGGGCAATTTGAAATTTTATTCAGTGTTTGGGAAAATGCTTCTTTTGACCTGACTTAACAGGGCGCGCTCACGCGTAAGAAACCAATTGGGCCACCAAGACGCACATAACACCGGTTAGCGTATAAAAACACTTCCCGAAACATATACTTTAAAATACATTTTTGAAATGCTTAATGGTGGTAAAGTTTGATATAGTTTAACTCTGCAGTGACAAAGTCTGTCGCAAAATGACGAACAAGCACTACGTTAATATCGTATCAAAATAACGTGTGGAAACGCCTTTTTTCGTCATGCAAGTGAGTAAACGTTTAGTCGTTTACTCACTTGCATCTCCGTAAATGAGCTGTTGCTAACATTTGCTAATATCGCTATTTGCGCATTTGTTACCCAAGAAATAAAAAATAAACAACTAGTGAAACTAACCCTGTTAATTCCGTTGTATGTTATTATTGATGTTATGTCAGGTGTCTGCCTTTTAATTGGCCGAGGTGAAAC